TGCACACCGCCTTCATCTCGCTGGACCTCCAGAGTGCCTTTGATACACTCTGGTGGCCAGCAATCAAGCAGGCACTCAGGAAAGCGCAATGCCCCATCAATCTCTACAGCGTCCTCTGCCACTACCTGCAGGACAGAAGTCTACTAATAACTCATAACAACGGAGTTACTACTAAACACCAAGAAAGGGGCTGTCCGCAAGGCTCGTGTGCGGGACCGATTCTTTGGACGATTACTTTCAACGCCATCCTGGAGGCCACATGGCCAAGACATACGTCCATCGTCGCCTACGCTGACGATGCCGCACTGTTAGTACAAGGAAGAACCCGCGACGAGCTTGAGAAGAATGGCACCGAGTCTTGTGCACTCTTTGCAGAACTCTGCGGCAAACTTAAACTTCAACTATCTGCTGAAAAGTCCTGTGCCCTGATCATACCGAAGCAAAGAGCCAACCTGAGACGCAAACCATGCATCAAATTAATGCAGAGGAACATTAAAATCAATAAACACCTTAAAGTACCTTGGCCTTCTGTGGGACAACAAATTAACATGGATTCCCCACCTCCAAAGTATTAAACAGCGAACTTCCGAAATAGCAAGAAAAGCCCGCCTATTTCAGGGGCGAAACTGGGGTCAAAATCCCCACATACAGAAAATTCTTTATCTCACAGTCTCAGAGAAAATAGCCCTTTACGCTTCAGCAATATGGGCCAATCCGATGAGTGGTAGAAAAGTCAAACAGCTGGGAATTATACAACGACCTTACGCCTTACTCTTGTGTAAGGCCTACAGAACAACGGCCACTAGTGCAGCAGTGGTATTATCTGGTCTAATGCCACTGCACATACGCGCAGAAACTGAAGCTGCTTACGCTACTGTTATCCATTTAAAGAAGGAAGCTACCTTCTGCGGAAACACTTATAGTCCAGTTCAGTATGAGCATCCAAAGAATACCCTGGAGACGCACCCTGCGCACAAGGGAAGAAATATAAGGATTCACGTCAGCAGAAGTGGCGAGCAAATTACAATACAGGATCCACGGTACCCAATGCAGTACTATACAGATGGATCCAAGCTCGACGAGGGTACAGGTAGTGCCTTCGTCCTGTACCACGGAGGATGCAAGGAAATCGAGTGGAAGGGGCATCTTCAACCAATAAACAGTACATTCCAGGCTGAAGTCATAGCCATTACCACTGCGATTCAGCATGCAATTGACAGCGGGATCACCGATGCAATGCTGTTTACAGATAGCATGTCAACGCTATTCGCCCTAGTCAACCATAACCACACCTCCCCATTGGTAGCGGACCTCCAGAATATTCTACAATCACATCCTCAACTAACTGTAAATTTAATATGGACTAAGGCACACGTTAACAACGAGGGTAACGAGACAGCTGACCAACTGGCAAAGGAGGCAACAAGCAACATAGCTGCACAGATGGTAACTATTCCAGCGCCACCCTCGTATCTCAAGAGAACTCTTAAGGAAAAAGGTCTGCAGAAGTGGCAAGCTGAATGGGAGACCTGTGATACGGGTCGCAGAACCAATTTATTTCTGCCTAGAGTGAAAACGGAGCGCCAATACTCCATACCTCCCATCACTAATTACATCTCGGGGCACGGGCCTTTTCCCACCTATTTTGAGCGATTTGGTATCTCTCATACAGGCTTGTGCGTCTGTGGGTCGCTCGGAACTCCAGACCATTACATCTTTGAATGCCCGCTCACGGAGGATAATCACCTCCACTTGCCAGCAGACAACCAAATAGCCTTCAAACGATTCATCGTTAATAACAAAGGCACAGTGAATACCATCTGCAGAATAATCAGCCAGATAACCGCCCTGGGGCAAGACCTATGCCAACCCCACTAATTCAGGGTCTTAAGTGAATGTAAGTACTCCTCTGCATCTAAGGAAATACAGTATCTTCCTTCTGCTAAGCGCATGTACCTTCTTTATTAATAGTATTTATGTGTCATGTCATGTATGTGTTATGTTAATATTTTTTTTTTTTTTTTTCTTTTTTTTTTTTTTTCTTAAATGTGTAACCAGTATGTTATGTAACGTATACCTTGCAAACCTAAATCTGTAATACAATATAAATAGCCAATGTATCTCTCATCTGCCCCTGTATGGCAATGTAATAAATCTTTTAAGATCTCAATAAACCTCCGGTAGATAGGGGAGGGCGCGGGACATATGCCTGTTTACCTCTGTTAAACACCAGGCGTCCCCGTCCTCCGTCACCTGTCACCTGTCTCATCTCTTCTGCTTTCAAATATAGCCTAATGTCTCTACACATGTATTGAATTTTATATGGACTTTCATTTAATTTTATTTACTTATTTGTGAAAATTTAGTATCTTTACTTGAATAATCTAACCTTTCTACCCTTTTCCAAAATAAATCATAAAAGTTGTGCCCTTTCTCGGATATTTTTGAGAAAATAAACGATCTCAACTTACCTCTTCAAGGAAAAATAGCAATATATTAACTGCGAATGATAAAATCAACATTTACAAGAATTGTATGGAAAATGATTTATCCGAAATGTTTTCGACTACCGAAAATGTTATAATGGGGAGAATAATTGTAATACTTTAATCGCAAAAGTTTTATAGATCATTTAATAATCCTATGAACCCAATACAGGGGATTCGACTTTTCAAATGCTTTATATTGAATTTTGTTTTTAAAAAGTTATCTTGGTTTCAAAAACTATTTTTGATTGGCATTAATGAGATCAATCATCTCCTATATAAAGCCTAAGAGGAATATGCTCATTAGTCGAGTGACTCAGACGTTAAAATTGAGTTTCCACAAAAATCGTTGACTGATGGAACTGAATTTCCCACAGTTTCTCAAATGGCAGTAAATGTTCTTATGCCATTCAACACCACATACTTTATTTGAAACTCCTTTTTTTGCTTTAACACTTTCTAAATCTAAATATTGTTCAACGCTCAAGAACGGTGACGGTGCTTTATGTCCAGTAATGACAGTTTTGCACGAAGATTAAATTTCCTATGCAAGGAAAAAAACCAAGCACATATGTCTCATTAAAACGTGCTCTTCTTTCATTATTTTTTGTATTACTCGAAACCAATCCAAAAGCTTCTACTTTTCATATGCATAATATTTACTAAAGTACAAATACGTAATGAGAAAAAAATTATTTTTATGCCTTTCTTTTAATACCTGGAGCCGCAAAAAATCTTAATGATAAATAGAAGTCAAGTATAAGAAAGTTTAAGAAGCGCTCTCATTCAACATAAGCATTCAAGAAAACTAGGTGTAAAATATATTTTTCTAATTTTTAATATTTTAATTGCTATAAAATTTTAACATTTATTCGTGAATTTTTCTAACACAGTTATAAGGTATTTCTCCCACTTTCCTAGCGTGCCTTCGTGTTGTAACGGTAGCACGCTGGGCCGGTATTCCAGAGGTCCGTGGTTCGATTCCCGGCGAAGGCGGTTGCTAATTTTTCATCACTCCTGCTTTAAAAAAAATCCTAATGGCTCTAGAAGTGGCGCCCCAACTAAAAGGGTTGTGGATGATAATTCTCCACACCCAGGATTTGGCGACTAGGTCCCCTAAAACCCTAGTCGTCCTTTAAAAAGTGGAGTACATAAGGTATTTCTCCCACTTTCCTAGCGTGCCATCGTGGTGTAACGGTAACACGCTGGGCCGGTATTCCAGAGGTCAGTGGTTCGATTCCCGACGAAGGCGGTTGCATATTTTTCATCTTTCCTGCATCCAAAACTATACCTAATGTCTCTACACAGTATTCTCGAATCTTCAATCTATAAATTATACATTTTTACGAACTACCACATTGATCCTCAATCCATTTTAATCTTTTTATTGCTATTTCTACTTATGTAATTTTATCTTACGAGCCTTTTTCGTGGTGCGTATGCATTCACGAAATCGAGAATCTGCTATTTAAGTGCATTAATAATACTGTATTTTTACTTAATGTTTCTTTAACTAATTCTAAGAACTTTGAATACGATGAATTGAATAGAGTAAAATTTAAAACCGTCATTACAGATAACCCTTTTCATTAAGATGATCAACTTATCAAAAGAAAAATTCGTGTGAAATATAAATTGAAGGGTTTCATTTTATTATGAGTTACTGTAAGTTAGCACTGTTGTTTGTAGAAGAGAAAATTTTTAAACTGAAATTAAAATAGTATTTCGACCATTAGCAATGCAAAGTAAGCCTTTAATTTTCTCAAGGAAAAAAGATACATTGTTTTTAACCAGGAAAAAGGACACCTCTAAATTACAACTGCAACAAGAAACCGTTTATTTTCTAAAAAATTTCTGAATAACATGAGAAATTTTGCAGCACCATAAAAACTTCTTTTGCCATTTTTCAGTTTAAAACATTTCAGCCTACACCTTAGTATGTCTAGATCTGTGTTTTCTTACCTCCTTTTTTTTTTAAACTAACCAAGTTGAATATCTCTGACAATATTCTTTTAGTTCTGTTTCATTTGTTCTTCCTTAGTGTAATAAATGTATGAAAAAAGATAGTTTTCTCTTTCTCTATATTTCAATCCCGAAAAACAAAAGTCTTGGTGAAAGTTTTGATAATTGGATCAGTTTATTCAATAGTTAAATTGGGGAATACGTATATCTAGCGAACTATACTTCTAGAATCTGACATTTAAAATACTTCCTCTTTACTACCCGCCAAGCAAATATTCCTTTTTTTAACTCTTCTCTACTGCTTAAACTACTGTATTTAGCTTTATTAGTGCATGATAGAAGTCTCAAATGAAGAACTACTTTAGAGCTTTCATTGTTGTTAATTTAAAATTTCTGGCAATCTTATCAAAGAAGAATGCAATCTTTTATTCTATACGGGATTACCGCCTAAAATCTAATTTCTATCCTTAACAAAAGACATTTTAGCAACAAAATGCATTTTTAAAATTCCATTAAAGCTTAGGATTTATGAAATGACACACTGTAACTTACCATTTTCTCAAAAGTTTCTTAGAAACTCTCTCAAAAGAGGACAATGCAGCTACTTGTAAATCGCAACTTGCTCAGAGGTTTTCGAAATTTTGAATTGCTCTCCGGCATCTTTGCCTTTTATACCTTTATTTAACGGGTGAAGGTAATGAGAGCATAATCTAAAAAATATCGACGTGCTTGGTCTTTACTGGTTCAATGAGTTCGTACCATGGAAATGTGACAAGCGACCGATTTACGCTTTGCCTTAACACAGTAATTAAACGAGTCGATTTCAGCCCGCTTAAACACTTAATATAAAATGATTTGGGTAAAAATATATTATAATATACTGAATTCACAGCTTCAATTTTTTACAACAGACTTACTGAATTCATGAGATCATAAAAAGATTATGATAGTCGAAAAAGTATAAAGACTGTAAGAAATTAATTTTTTATTTAGCATCGGTTTTAGTCATTAGTAGTAACAATGAGTAGTATTGTGAATTAGACCTTATCATCTGAAGTTTATGAAATGTTCTATAAAAGGTTGGAATTAAGAATAGTAGAAGCATATTGTTAAAAATATAGAAAAAATGCGGTAAAATAAAATGATATTTTACAACAGAACCTCGATTATCCCTCATTCTCAAAAACCTTTCAGTGACGACTGAGAGAATACAGAGATGGCAAACTGAAATTCCTCCCACCAACCACCACTGGGTAGCAATGGTCAGTGATTAAGATCCAGTTTTTAACATGATGCATTGTAAAACACGGTTAAAAATCACTGTTAAACATGAAAACTGGTTATGTTACAAATCGTTTACTTCATATCATACACTGTAAAGGTATAATATTTATATGTATATATATATAGAGAGAGAGAGAGAGAAAGAATAATTTAGCCATAAAATAATATCTTAAAATCCAAGTTGTAATAGCTAAGTTTTTTTCAAAACTAATTTAGCCATTCAAACTGTGTATACATTCATAAGACATGATATATATAGCATGAAAATATATGCATGCACATATTATATATATATATATATAATGCAAAATAAAAAAAAAATGCGTTTGAAATTCAGCTCGTGTTCAGTTCGGAATGAATAACAAAACAAAACAAAAAAAAACAAAAAAAAAAAAAAAAAAAAAAAAAAAAACCTCTCTTTAGTACTGTATAGTTGTTTTTTTACATGGTGTAACTATTTTACTCAGGATTTGCAGTATCATTAAAATTACCTCTTCTTTGCAATTATTTTAAAATTTTGTAGCTCAATGCGCAAAATTCTTGACCACATAGGTCTCTCTTTGTTCGTATTATCTTTCTACTTTCGTATTTATATATATATATATATATATATATATATATATAAGTATGTATATTACATAATTTTTAAATTTTATATAATATATTGTAGAGGACATTAGGATATTTTTTGGAGGCCGGAGAGATGAAAAATTAACAACGCCTTTGCCAGGAATCGAACCACGGACCTATAGGATACCGGCCCAGCGTGCTACCGTCACACCACGAAGGCACGCTAGGGAAGTGGGAGAAATACCTTATAATATAATTTTAAACGTGTTATTTTTTAATCAACGATGCAACAAAAAATGTGGATTTCTTATTTGATTTTTGATTGTGGCATGTTTTTTTTTTTTCTTCTTGCAGTTTGCCATTGTGCTTCTGGTTTTACGCGAGTTTGTTCCGAACTGAATCTGAGACAAATATTAAACGTATTACTTTTTTAAATTCATTTTGCATTATTACTACCATTTGTTGTTGCTTTCATCGCGCAAATGGCTTGGAATTTCAGCTGCTCTTTTTTTTTATTTTTTTATTTTGTAGAGTCATTAGGTTAATTGGAAGCAGAAAAGATGAAAAATATGCACCCGCCTTCGCAGGGAATCGAACCACGGACCTCTAGAATACCGGCCCAGCGTGCTACCGTTACACCACGAAGGCACGCTACGAAAGCGGGAGATATACCTTATAACTTTTTTCATGTCTAAAGAGATAAATTAAATAGAACTTGAATTAAATAGTCTTTCTGTAGTGGTGGTTTATTTGATATTTCATTGAGTTAAAATTTGTCTCATCTTAAAGATAAATATTGGCAGTATTAAAATCCGTTTTCGACTCACGAAAAAATTTCTGATGCTATGTGAAATCGTAAATCTAATATTATCAGGTTCAGCGTTTCTCCTTACTTGCTTGGGGAATATTCAAGAACCTGAATCGGAACAGGGAGCTTACTAAGATACAATACACAGGATCACGAAACCCTTTATTTTTCACTCTTTACAATAATTTCCGTACTTCGGAATACAGAGACCAACCACTTGTGGTCTGAACGTAAGAATATAAAAATATTAACAAAACTCTAACTTAACTTTGGAATAATATAAACAAGGGCCTACGTGGAAGATTGGCCGTATATTAACAGGAAGCCGTATGTAGTACAGAGAACTGTTAACACTACAATACGTTTAAAATTATTAAGAGGATTAAACCTCTGGCCTGGAAGGCAACCAGCAACCGAGTAAAACTGCTAAGGCAAGCGGCCTGCTTCGACTAACTCCTTCCTCTCTCTCGCTTGGCAAAAAGCCACAACTTAAGTACTTGGCGTTCGCCAACAAATTTGCATAAATAAGTTAAAGCTTTTAATTCTGGCCGGAAGTAGAAAATAAGAAGTGATAGTAAAGATTTAAAATAAAATAAACGTTAGTAAAACTTAAGATCCTTACAATATGACAACTAAGGAAAAGTTAAGTAACAAATTATATATAAAATAATTAAATCATAATTTTTGGAGCTGCATAATTTTCTATATTGAATAACTTGAAATATCAGCTATTAGCTCATAGGATGATTTGAAATATCAGGTAAGATTCAGCCATGAATCTGTCGTCCATATAAATATAAATCTATCGTCCATATTATAGGTTAAATATTAGTTAAAATTGTCAGAATCGTTACTTATTTTCTTCGGCTGAATATTTAAATGATATTTATCAGATTGAGTTTAGTTGTCGTTTAAAAAAAAAACGATAGTTGCATCTTATTCATCTCAGTATTTTATTAGAAAAACCTCTATTTGAAATTACGTATTAAAGAGGCTGATTGTCATGTCAGAGTGAAAATTGCCTTACGTAGCTTGCAGCTCCAAACAAATTGAGTAATTTAATTTGCCTGGTAATATAATCGTTTTAGAGAAAGCGAAATGTTTTCTAATGATTTTAATTATATTTCCTTTCGTAGAATTTTCCAAAATATACGTAAAATTCCAAAATGCAGCTTGTCATTTCTCATTCGGGAAGTTCTTTGTAAGGTTGGAGTTTTCTCAGAATATCGTGTTATGCCTCGAATAATAAGAAGAAATGCTTATCAACAAATTTCGAATTTCGACCGAGACAGGATAGTTGCCTATCGAAAGTGTAGATTATCTTTCCGTGATATCGCCGGTCGCACTGGTCGCCATCCAAACACTGTCATGCAAATATGGAACCAATGGATTGCTGAAGGTCATACTGAAATGGCATGCAGGATCTCAACGCCCTCCCATGATTAACGCCAGAGGGGACAGACATATGAGGTCAGCCCTGCAAAACCGTACTACCACGACACGGAACATTAGTCAGGAAATGGGCATGTTTGCAGCATGCTCAGTATTAGCTCGTAAGGTGCGTCGACGTTTGCAGCAGCGTGGACTGTCAGCAGGGTGACCATTACTTTGGCTTCCCTTGACAATGCATCACAGAGAGAGATGGCGATCTGGTGCGGCAAATGACAAAGCTGAGTACAGGAGTGGCGCAATGTAGCCTTTTCAAACGAATCCGGGTTATACATGCAGTATTCTGATGGCCGTATACGTATCGTGAGTGTCCGACGAGACCGCAGGTCGGCTGCTTGCATTTGATATCGGTACAGTGGTCTTGCAACTGGTCTGAGGGTATGGGCAGCTTTGAGTAAATGACACGCACATCTCTAGTTCGGATCGATAGTAATTTGAACGCAGATGGGTACATTTCAGACATCTTACGTGCAGTGGTTGTGCGCTATATTCGAGGCCCCCTAAAGGCATGTTCCAACAAGATAAAACAAGACCACGTGTGTTCTGACCTTCCTTGATACACAGGGTATTCGACTGCTACACAGGGTATTCGACTTCACGGTCTCCAGATCGGTCACCCATTGAAAACATCTGATCTTGGGTTGCTGAGAGACTGGCCCGCCACCCTCTCCCGCTAATAAGATTGATGAAGTGTGGCATAGACTTGAAGCAGCATGGAATGAGTTGCCCATTTTTGTCATCCAAGCCCAGTTTGACCAGCTTAATGGGGTTAGGGCCGATTTAGCTGTCAGGGGTGGCAGCTGTTTCTGCTAATTTCGCACCCCTCTGAAACTTCAAAATGCTTACAAATTTAATTATTTTGTCTTCATGCCATACTGTTTAAGTGAAATAAATATCTTTTTTGTATTTCACTCGATCACTTGTGTTCATGGTGTTGTTATTTTAATTGCCAGCAGTGTAGTTCATATACCGCTCACGTATTTTTTGGACTGCAGTAGCTAAATATTTCTTTTCTACTGGAATATGAAAGCATTTGTCAAACAGCGATAGTACCATAAACGAATTTTTACTTTCTATATCAAAGTAATCACTAAAAAGGGAAAATTCCCATACATAAAAGAGAATTAATGCATTAGAAGTCAGGTTCTTCGTCGAATTTAAAACATAACATATTTTGCATATACCTCATTCCTTTTGCATGCAGATAGTAAGTGAGTAGTAACAGGATACTGAAAGTATTATGAAACAATAAAGGCTGAAGATAGATATTGGTATTGTATGTGTTTTATAATTTTGAAAAAACAATTGAAAAAATAATTTTGAAAAAATAATCTTACAGTAGTTTGAAATTATATTCCATAACTACTGTAAGAACTGCCTAGAGATTTCAGCATTTAAGTTTATCCTATCACTTTATTGACAAATTTTCACAAATAAATTTAGCAATGACGTTTAAAAATTATTATTGCGTAAGATTAAATGTGCTTTAAGAAATGAATAAAAATATGTAAAATGCATTTGCCTTATTTGCA